TTTGTCCCCCACTACTACTACTCATTTTTCAGAGGTCCAGTGTCCACTCTTGCCTCTCTCTTACCTTTTCGATAACTCTTGCAATCTTCTTTTATATTACGAGCCACCTTGTCCTCATGTTTCATCTTAACCCCAATTATTGCCTTTTTAGTTATCCTCAGATGATTTTTAAAGACTTCCCTATCCTCTGGCTTCCCACTAATTTTCACCACATTGTATGCTTTTTCTTTTGCTTTAGTTGTTGCTATGTTTCACTCATAGTAGAGGTGACAAGGCTGCATTTAAATAAATTAGCATTGTTATAATTGCAATATATTTGTATACCATCTCCTTTCTTCCCTTTCACTTATGACATAGATACAGTAGTTCACTATTTAAAACAATGTTGTGTATCTTGCACCTGTGACGTGCAAACCCTCAAATAATCATTCATCTCTTGATTTAAAAACTTTTAAAAATAGCAGATAAGTAATGATATGAATGTAATACGAATATTCTTCCACCAATCTGATGAATTTTATACAGCAATGTAGAGTTGTCTTTTTCTTTAATCCAGAAATATCGGAGTCAATTATTTCAACTTTTATTGTGTTTTGGAATAGGGGAGAAAGATGATGTGCAGTTCCTGCTGCAGCAGTATTGGATGTACTGAATATTGGCTCTTGTTCTGTGATGCCATGCTCTTCTTGCAGCTACCAAATTGGATCTGACAGTAGAAGGGCCACAGTGTAGGATCTGTTACTGATCTGCCTTCAACATTTGCACTATCTGATGGCTCAGGTAGCCTGTACTCATTGATTGAGACATCACCTCAGGTTGCAGAGTGAAACCTTCCACCGTTTATCAACACTTAAATTTTTACACCACAAATTAGATTCTGTTCTCTTGCTGTCAACATGTAGAATTTCTGAAAATAGCGTAAGAAAAAGAATCAATATGAGCAGGAAATATATTTGACCTTTATTTCTGTATTAGATGGTAAATGTCAAAGAGGCTGTGGAAGAGGTTTGCACTTCTTTTTTCCTAATGCCTAATTCAAAAATACACTAATTCATGAAATTCAAACCTGCAAATATGCAGTTCTATCCTGTAGTCAGCATTACATCTCCCTTTTCTACTTCATTACTTCTAGCTGCCTGTAGTGTTTAGTGCATTTTTAAAATTTTGATTTCATGTCAAGTACTCACACTATGTTAGAAGTCCCAACCATGCTCCTCTGTGAAATTCAGTGTTAAAATTATCCAGCTGGATGTTTGTAACTGGCCATTGCAACTATATAGTCCATACATAAACATTCACAAACGATAAAAATGAGCCCCTTAATAACTGAGGACCTTACATTCTGAAAACAAAAAATGCTGAAGACCACTTCAGGTCAGGGAACATCCATGGAGAGAAAGCAAGCTATGGATGCTGCCTGACTCGTTGGGATCTCCAGCATTTTTTTTTTTGTTTTCAGTTCAGATTCCAGCATCTGCAGTAATTTTCTCCAAACTTTCATTTTGAATCTGATCAGCAACAGAGACACTTGCAGTTGACAAACCAGCAGTTCTACAGTAACACTAAATGTATTTTGAATGCTTTTGAAAAACAATCAAGTAGAATTGGCAAATGAATTTCAATAGAGATAAATCTGAGGTATTACATTTTGGAAATAAAAATAATTTGCATATTTCTTATACAATAAGAATCTAAATGGGGTAATTGAGTGAAGAAATTTTGAAGTACTAAAAGTAGCGGCACAGGTAACAAAGCCTTCCAAAAAAAAATTAAATTAAGCACTTGGCTTTAATTTGGAGATGAATAGAATTGAAAAGTAAGTAAGTTGTGCCAAATTTTTATCAAACCTTGGTTAGACCACACCTAGAGTATTCAAGATAATTCTAGACACCATATTGTCAGAAATTATAGAGTTATCGGAGAGAGTGCACAAAGATTTTAATGAATGATTCCAGAAGTGTTTGGATATACCTGTCAGGGCAGAATAAACATGAGTGAGTAGGTAATAGTAGATTATTTTGATAGTTACATATGGAAATTAAGAGGAAACTCAAGTGGAGCATAAGTATTGGTGCTAGTGGTTTCTATGTGGTGGATTCTAAGTAATGTTGTCATTTGATACCCATATTTCTTTAGGATAGTATATACTAACCTACTATATATTGAAAGTGTGAAATTCATTTAAACTTTTAGAGTCTAGATTTCACAAAATAGCAAATGGGTGTTGGTTACTTCTGTGAAGTAATTTTTTTTTTTTTTTTAAAATGTCAAAGATTCCTTCCATAGCAGTGACCTAATCCAGCATTGCTTAGAAAACAAGTGGCTGTACATCTCTGTAGTATGCTAATAGGACATTATTCATACTGTGGTGGTTTACAACAGGTGCATTAATATTGAAGACCATTAGCTTGTTTTCAGTTCAGAATAATCAAGGATTGATTTTAGTTTAGAAAACCCAGAGACTGAAATCTTTTAAGGCAATTGGGAGGAGACCTAGAAGAAGATGTAGAATCCCTACAGTGCAGGAAGAGGCCATTCGGCCCATTGAGTCTGCATCGAACTCCAAACAGCATCCCACCAAGGCCCAGCCCCCAACAATCCCCATAACCCCCACATTTACCATGATAATCCACCCAACTTGCGTATCCCTGGACATTACGGTGCAATTTAGCATGGCCAGCACAATGGCTCAGTACTACTGCCTCACAGTGGCGGGGACCCGGATTCGATTCCACCCTTGGGCGACTATGTGGAGTTTGCACATTCTCCCCGTGTCTGCGTGGGATTCCTCTGGGTGCTCCGGTTTCCTCCCAGAATCCAAAGATATGCTGGTTAGGTGGATTAGTCATGCTAAAGAAATGCCCGCAGTGTCTAGAGATGTGCAGGCTAGGTGGATTAGCCATGGGACATGCAGGGCTACGGGATAGGGTAGTCTGTATTCGGGTGTGATGCCATTCAGAGAGTTGGTGTGGACTCAATGGGCTGAAAGGCCTGTAGTGATTCTACAATTCTATAACCAATCTACCTAACCTGCACATCTTTGGACTGTGGGATGAAACTAGAGCATCCTGAAGAAACCCACGCTGACACAAGGAGAACATGTAGACTCCACGCAAACAGTCAGCCAAGGCTGGAATCGAACCCAGGTTCCTGGCATTACAAGGCACCAGTGCTAATCCACTGAGCCACCATGCCACCCCGACTAGGGTCAGAAGCAGGTTTTAGTCCTTACACAAATATAGGAAGTTTCAGCGATGTATGGTTACCTTCATAGAAGAGTTCAGTTTTGGGAATTTCTAAACCAAGAGAGTTTTGTTAGAAATCTGCAGGTTATTCGAACTGAGAAAGCTTAGGCTCTCAGAGCTGTGGAAGAGTTCATGTTAGCAGATTTGGAAATGACTCTTCAAATTGGCTGTACATCCATGGCAAAGAAACTGCCAGGAAACACTAAATATTACCCTAAGCAGCTGAGAGTTGAGTGTGAGATAGTAGGAACTGCAGATGCTGGAGAATCTGAGACAACAAGGTGTAGAGC